TTTTAATTGGTTAATTGATTAAATTAAAATCAAAATTTATATTTTTAATAAATATTAATTATGAAAATGTACATTTATTTTATCCTTATCATGAAAAAATCTTTTTATTATCAATCCTTATTCTTAATAGTGCTTCTAAGGTAAGGTTCAATGGCCTTGGTTGGCTCAAAACGACATCAATCTGGACGTTTCATGACGCTTGGCTTTTGCAGTAATAACTGGTTGAAACTAGTTCTTGTAACCACTAAAAACCATGAAAATGAAAACCCCTCAATCACTCCACAATCCACATTGTCCCAATCTCTCTATTTTGGCTTTTATCCTTTCATCAGCACCATCACCGACTCTCCGCAGTTACTCCCATGGCAGATTTACTCATGCATTCAAGATCTTGTATTTAAATAGCTTCTCAAAGGAATCTTACTCAAATTTGTCAGTTTGATTTAAAACATTAAACGGAAAATTCGTGGATAGTTGTATTTGATTGATGTTACCAAGTCTTGCCTCAATTTAATTAGCCAAGTGAGTTTTTTTTCAACTTTTAATCATTTTTTGGGTTAATACAAATTCTCTATTTCTCGCATAATATCCCCTCCCCCAAATTAAATTGCCTCCATCACTGTTGCAGACGTAAGAGGTACTGTCCTCAATTGCCAAGCACTACCTCACTGATGGCGATGCAATAGCTATTGGAGAGAATAAAGAATGGGCTCCGAAACAATAAAGGAAAGGACAAGGCATTACTTTTTGTATCTAGTCCTCTGTGGATGGTAATCACTCGTAGATTGTTTTTTGGTCTTTTGACCATATCTCCAAGCTACTAGAGAAAGGAAAACGGAGTAGAACTCCTGTATGCGAAGGTGGGGATTCCTTGAGGTGAAAATCGAATAGGAGAAGCAAATAATTAGTTCTGAGGTTTGAATTTCAAACCTTAAACAAGCAAAAGAGTATATGAAAATAAGAGAATTATTTTGTATTGTATAGCATCAGAGGAGGTTTTCATTTTATTTTGATGGCTTACATTTGGGCTATTTGACCCAATATATTGTTTATAAATTATTGTAAGTTTATTACAGTTTTCAAATTTGATCGAAATTTAGATTGATTAGGGTTAATTATCTAATAAATATCCAAATCATCCACTTGAAAAATAGGATTATTGAAATCGCACAACACTTTAAATATTAATAAAAAGATTCAATAGCTGCGTATAGAGCGAGTAGATCACTTGGAAAAAGGAGAAAATTGGGAGGGGATTTGAGTGGTTGCCAGACATCTGTAGGGAGAATTGTGGAGAATTAATGGGCTTGCTTGGTTAGATGGGCTTTTATTGGAAAGAAATTGGGGAATTGGTGATAGTAGATAGATAGGTAGATTAGGGGTTTTTAGAGTGGATTGGAGGATTGGGTTTAAATGAAATAACTATTGAGCTTTAAAACACCTATATTTGGATATTTTTTTAATGATTTAAGTAGTGTTAATTTTTTAATTATGTGAAATGTGAAGATAAACTTTTTTAAAACTTCTTTAATTCCACTTCGTCAAGGAAAAAAAACAAATAAAAATAGTAAAGGAATAATGAAAAAGTGTTTTTATAGAATGGATTGCATATTAAACGTGCAATTTAACCTGTAAATTTATTAAAATACTTTTAATAGAATAACATCACAAATAATTTCATTAGAAATGTTTTAATAAATTTATAAGGTAACTTCCACTTTTAATATTTAGTTTGTACTGTAATGAATCTCAAAGAATAAAAAAAAAAGTAAGAAGAATAAAGAAAGTGCTGAGAAGTGATAACCAAAATTCAGAGAAAGAACTATATTTGATGGAAAATTATTTGTTCCAAAAACTAGCAACGTTAATGTTTGACCTTTTATAAAAAAGGCCAAAATAATTAAAGAGTCTTTCAATCCTCTCCGTTCATCACTTCCCTGCAATTGCTTACAAGTTTCCTCGTTTACATTTGCTTGACCACATTTGTCAAGTAAATGTGAAAATTGACATGTAATAAATATGGTGCATGTATATGCCAATTTATGATATAAGAGTGGAAGAATTTCAAAGTAGAAACCAATTTCTAGACAATTTAAGTCCATGAATGAGATAAATAGTTATCGAAATTGCAAACTAGGAAAGTAGCATGGAAAGATCAAATGGATGGATAGGAATTTCATCACTTCCCTGCAATTGCTTGCAAGTTTCCTTGTTTACATTTGCTTGACCACATTTTTCAAGTAAATGTGGAAATTGACATGTAATAAATATGGTGCATGTATATGCCAATTTGTGATATAAGAGTGGAAGAATTTCAAAGTAGAAACCAATTTCTAGACAATTTAAGTCCATGAATGAGATAGATAGTTATAGAAATTTCAAACTAGGAAAGTAGCATGGAAAGATCAAATGGATGGATAGGAATTTCATCACTTCCCTGCAATTGCTTGCAAGTTTCCTCGTTTACATTTGCTTGACCACATTTGTCAAGTAAATGTGGAAATTGACATGTAATAAATATGGTGCATGTATATGCCAATTTGTGATATAAGAGTGGAAGAATTTCAAAGTAGAAACTAATTTCTAGACAATTTAAGTCCATGAATGAGATAGATAGTTATAGAAATTTCAAACTAAGAAAGTAGCATAGAAAGATCAAATGGATGGATAGGAATTTCATCACTTCCTTGCAATTGCTTGCTTGCAAGTTTCCTCGTTTACATTTACTTGACCACATTTGTCAAGTAAATGTGGAAATTGACATGTAATAAATATGATGCATGTATATGCCAATTTGTGATATAAGAGTGGAAGAATTTCAACGTAGAAACTAATTTCCAAACAATTTAATTCCATGAATGAGATAGATAGTTATAGAAATTTCAAACTAAGAAAGTAGCATGGAAAGACCAAATGGATGGATAGGAATTTCTTTCCTAAATTCTTTGCAATTACTTATGGTTTCTCAATTACATTTTTATGAAGAATAATCCTTGCAACCAAGGTCTAGCATTGATTGGTAAACTCATCACAATCAATTCAATTGCTTCCTCACTATTACTTCGCAAATTAGTTTGCTTTTACCTTTACATGTTACAGTATAAAATTAATAAACCATTTCACTTGAAGAGTCAACTTGCAAAGTTTAATTTTGTTATTTTAATCTTTCTTCCTTGCTTAGATTATAGATGAATAGATCCTAAACTTTTTTTAGTTTATTCTCTTTACCATCACTATTTTAATTCTCATATCAATAAATATGAAATTGACCTACAATAAATATGATGCATGTGTGTGCCAATCTTTAATATAAGAGTTGAAGAAATTTTAAGGTAGGAACCAATTTTTTGACAAAATAGCAGTTCATGAATGAGATAGTAGTACAAATTTGATTTTATGTATTGTCTATGTGGCAAATTATTGATAGATTGTAATCTTTATATTATTAATATATCCTTTGTGAGCCTTTGTTAGAGAAATTATATTAAAAGGATAATAAGTTCTGCTGTTACATAAATAATAAATATTTTTAAAATATATTAATTTCATATTTACATTGATTGCTTATAGTGAAGTTGGATGCTTTAGTATATCATATCTTGATAAATTTTATTGTAAATTGTTATTTTGTTAATTAGTTTTAATTAAAAATTCTTCTCTTTTTATTTGTTTAAATAATTTTAGAATTAGTTATTTTTGTAATTAA